ACAACTAATAACACCTCCCTCCAAAGATTTAATATCATAACTTCCTAGAGACAACATAAACTGTGAAAATAAAACAAGCATTAAAATAAGTTGCTTATTACTGTAGACCAGAAAGCAGGAACTGGCATATAGAGTAAATGAAATAGTGAAAGTTACACCTGCTGTGTTCAAAGTTTCAAAGTTGATCTTAAGTGCCACTACTATACCAAAAAAAAAAAAAAAAGCCTCTGAATTTACATCAGAACTGTGGGAATGACACATCATGCCAAATCCATTCCCATTGCCAGCAAGCCAAAAATCAAATGACAAAGTTCTCTTTATTAAGGAATATTCAATCTCATTCATTAAAAAACCAAAAAGTCTGTGCAGTTCTTAATGGGCTGAGAGCCTTAGGTATCCACATACTCCCACTGCAAGCTTCAGAACAGAAGCACAGTTTTATACGCCACATGAAGACGGACCTTCACTCAGTTTTTCTCTTTTGTCTGAGAAGAGCTGAAGGGTCCACATAAACGCCACTGAAGCTGAGTGCTTTACTAAATCCTCCAAGATCTGATCCTGATAACATCTGCTGCACCTGTGATAACACAGGATACTTTTTTCCTTCAGCATTCAGAAATCCGAGCAGAATGGAAAAGATGTCAAAGGTTGTTTGTCAAAGCTGCCACATCTGGTTCAAAAATAGCACGTGGTGCTGCCTGTGGACGGTGATCCTCCAGGAGCATCACTGCGATAAGTAAATGCCAGCTTTTAACTGAAGGCTTTGACTTCAGAAAATCCATTCGTGCTCATTTCCAGTCAAGTGGGAAAAAAAGCACAAAATAACAACAGGTAATTGTTTGTAGGAAACAGTTACACAGGTGGGTCTGGTAGCTTTCCGCACTAAACTTAACCCTCCTCTCTCATTGTTATTCTCCAAGCAAAAGGAAATCTTTAATGATCCTTCAGCCCTGCAGGGGCTGTGCAAGCTGACACAAACTGAAACAGCGAGCTGTAGAGGAATCCAAAATGCCTTAAACCTCCAGAATACTTTTCACCGCGAGACAAACAGATCACAAGTTACCAGACTTCCAGGTTTGTTACAGAATCTCACCCGCTGCTTCCTGCGGGTTAAGAAACTTCCTTTTCATCTGCCCCGCTCTGAGCCGTCAGACCCGCTACCCAGCGTGCAGCCCTGGAAAGCCACAGCTCTGCCAAGCAAAATGTTAAATATCTGCCCTCAAGCAGCAGTTTAAGTAAAGCCTTTCATCTCCTCTTATTCCATCTGTTTGCGTAGCCGCGAGCTCCAGGAATCCCAGCGTCGAGACCTCCCTTCTTTCCGCTTGATCTCAATGCCGAGGGAGTTCTCACTTTCCCAGCTGCCGTGCCTCTGTCTCTCGCTGTTAGAAGGGACAAGAGGGGGGCGGAGAAGCAGGCTGCTCACCGGGGCCCTTCTATCCCAGGATGCCATTTTATTAAGTTCTCCTCTTCTTTCACACACCGTATAATCAGCTCCACATCGCAGCATTCAGGATGACTCCGAGACAGTGAATATTCCCACTGAGGCTGTATAAATGCTCTCAGACGGTTCAAAACCTGTGTGCCCTATAACCATCCTAAGAAGCTTCCAGAACAGCACATTCCACTTTTGGGGGGTTGTGTCATCCATCTCCTCCTCCCCCTTCCCCCTCCCCCCCCAATTTGTTTAACACCACGAGGGTATTATGCAGTGCTGTAGAACCAAAGGGCTTTGCTGGTGATTGTACAAGACAAGGCACACGCAGAGGGAAGGCAGTTCAACACCCCCACTATACTGCTTTGAATTTTCTCTAGTCCTGGACTGTTTCCTATTGCTTTCCCAGCAGTGTTTGCAAACTGTTTTTCCTGAAAGGGATTTGATTCAAGCTGCAGATCTAATGAACACGTACAAAAATGACACTAGTCTTCTGTAAAGCGAGTTTTGAAATCTACTCAGACTGATGCAAAACCTTCTCTGGATATTCCTGTTAGCTTACACTGACTTAGCTTGAGCCAAATTCATTAAGCTGAATTGATGTAAACTTGGGATAAATGCATTCCAGAGCATCCATAAAAGATCTTGTCCCTGTTTGAATGAAGAAATTTAAAAGCTGATGTCATTGAAAAGATGTGATTTATCATGGTAAACTGATCTTGAAAACACACATAGGGAAAGGTATTCTGTTCACGGAGCAGAAGTGGTGGAGTGGTTTTATTTTTCACTGGTAGTGCAGGACACCACCATTCAGAGGTGTGCAAGGGAAATAGAAGGGTAAGAAGTAGAAGAAAAGAACATTTTATCATAGATGAAGAGTAATCTTATTCCTACCTCAGCTTTCTTTATACACTTGACTGACTTCTGTTGACTTCAGTGGAACCATGTGTGTACTCAAATCACTGGTAATTCGCTTGTCAGAATTGAAGAGTATGAAAAACAAACAAGACTGCAGCTGAATAGCAGGAGGCTTTCACACCAGTAGGACACATCAAGCACCAGTAGGACACATCAGGCACCAGTGATAACCTAACTGGTGAGAATGAGTTCCATGTTTACGTTCATTTCTATTCAGTAGGCATGTACAACTAACCCAAATCTCAACTCAGTAGGGATATTTTATGCCCTATGCTTGAGATGAAAAATGTCAAAAACTGAAAGCTAAACATAACAGACAACTATGCTCACCCAGGGTGATTAAAAGACGGGTTTTAAAAATGTTTATTTAATTTATTAAAACGCTTGCTGTCAACACCTTTCATGCTATGTGCTTGAATATCCTTGATGAGGGTTTGTGCAGCTGTGGCTCTCATACTGAATTAATTTTGTAAATTGTGGTGAGATGATAGAAGTTTTCCAGCTGTGTAATCATTAATTAACTTGGCTGCATCTGAGTGGCTCCAACTCATGCTTGTCTGTAAAATATTCAACTTAGATAAAACATCACCTCTGTATTCTGCTTGGTTTCGAATCAAAACTTTTTCTTCTTCTTTTTTTTTTTTTTTTTTTAAAGGAAACGGAAAGTGCTGCAGGATTATTTGGTAGATTAACTTTTTGCCTTTCCTATACTTTCACAATTCCCACACATAGGGGATGCTTTGGATTTAAAGGGTTTAAGAATTCTATGCTGTAACATAAAGTCTAAAACCAGCTTTTCAGGCTTTTCCACAAAATTCACGGAGACAAGATGTTGAAGACCTTTAGCAGAAACAAGCCAGAAGAAATGTAACTGGTCACTACCCAACTTCAACTTCTTGGGCAGTAAATACTTTGTGTACTGTTATCTGCCCTCGAGAAGAGCTGCCCAGTGTCTAGTCCAGTGTCCACAATTCAAAAGGCATCATCTCCAGGCAAAATGTTTACATCTTACTGAAAGGAAAATGACCTTTTCCTTAATGAAAAAAATTGGTCAGAGCTGGATGCTGAGAGATGAGCTCCTTTATGCCCCCAAATTTGCAATAGTTAGTCAGGAGAACCTGGGCACATCATCCTTCCTTTCAAATAAATTCACAGTAACTTAAGCCCTCAGCTGCTTTCTTCTTCTGGAAGCCAAAGCATATTCTATGAAACAGGACTCATGGAGGCAAAGAACTAGGTTACGGACTTAAATTGCAAAATAAATTACAGTCAGAACCATTTTACAGAATCACAGAATGTTAGAGATTGTATTTCATTATTCTTCTCAATGCTAGCACGATGATAGATTAGATGTTGCAAAGGGACTTTCTGGAAGGACTTCAATTTACAGCTTTCTAGGCAGAATTAGAATGGAGCAAGCAACGGAACTCTGAGTGCCTTGCCATCCCTAACTAGAGTCATCTTGAAAAGCTCATTTACATCTAATTAAGCAACACTACTTTGTTACCTTACACAAAGGCCTTCTGCCTCTCCTAGGAAAGTGTCAGTCAAATGCTCCATAATGATCCTGCCAAAGGTGGACACTTTGTCTGTAGGAATTACTGTTTATCTGTGCTCTAAGAAGGTGTGACTCTTCACCAGCTTGCAATTAAGCACAAGAGGCAATATTTATATTTTTTGACTCTTCTACACAGTGACGTACAAGCCAGAACTCCAAATCGATAACTATATGACTGAACTTCAGATAATTGTTAAGTCCATGATAAGGTCAGAGTTTATTTACACATGAGAATGTTCATTAACATAGTTTTGATTCAGATGGTACTTCAAAAGAAACCAGAATCACATTTCTGAAGAAGCTCAAGTCCTGGTAAATGGTATCCAAATTATATTTAAAAAACAAGTAACATCACTATGAGCATGGAAAGAAGAAAGGTAATTTTAAAATCTCCATATGTCTGTAAGAAAATAATAATATGCACAGGGACTGACAAAAAAGGAATCTTCTATTTTAGAAAAATGTTAAAAGATATTCGTAATTCCCTTTGAAGTTAATGTTAAATATGTGCTTAACTTTTTGCCTACTTGGGGAATCAGATCAGCAGCTTGGTAAATCATTTCTGCACAGGAGCCTACTGGACCAACGAACAGTCAATTTAAAGAGATATTATTCCTAGAACAAGTCAAGTCATAAGGAGAAGAGCTGCTCACTCAAACAAGCTGTCTAAATTAATGAATCTTCAGTGGATCTCTGTTATTAAAACAAATTATCATGATTCTTCTCTTTTCCTAACTGACATCTTGTATTGTGTCTGGCCGAGATTTTTTTTGTTTCCCCATAGCATCCCTCGTGGTGCTGTGCTCTGTGTTGGTAGCTAGGGTAGGAAGGTGTTGGTAACACACCAGTGATCTGGCTGCTGCCGAGCATTGCTCACATAGCATCAAGGCTGTGTCTCCAACATCCCCCCCCCACCAGTAGGCTGGGGGTGGGCAAGATCATGGAGGGGGGGGGGACACAGCCAGATATTTTCCTTTGCAATTCAGGGATATACTGCCAAACTCAACTCAATGCACCAAATGACATTTTTTTTCTTTTGAAAATTCTTTAAGTTAAAGGTTTCTCATTAATTATGGGATTTTAACCATTTACCTGAGAGGACATTCCATGGCATGGATAAAGGATTGCTTTGTCATCCTCTTCGGCTCCCTGATCTAAGCAGTAGCCACTAGCTTTGCTGTTACGCACCTATAACCGGATCAAAAATAAAACAGTTGTGTTAGAAATTAACCTGTACGATGCAAATCTAATCTAGCTAAATCTTAGCTGCACTACAGCTATTGAAGCAACGAGTATTTAAAACTGTTCTCTGAGAAACACATGCTTGTTCTCCATATATGACAGGATGCCAATAGTGAATTTGCTCCAGGAAGAGACAGTATTTGGAAAACCTGCTATCTTTACAGACCTTGGGTCAGAGTTATGTTTTCAGCAATCACTCAAGGATCAAAACCCAATTCACTCTAAGAAGCCCAGGCTGAATTTTGTTCCAAATTATCCTCGTGGAAATATAAATTTTGACCATATACGTTGAAAATGTGACTTAAACCAAACACCATAGGAACTACCCAGGAAAGGGTGCCCATGGTATGGCAGCCTTTTATTTGCTGCTTATATAAAACCGAAAAAGCATATGAAACAATTCTATTTGAATTGAAATGGTTATGTACAGAAGTGAGATAAATCACTTCATGGTGAAAGGATACAGCAATGACAACCATCACTGGAAGGCTTTCAATATATTTAAAGTTTGGGCTCAGAGAACCAACCAAGTCAAAAATTCATGTGTGTCCCCGGACAAGGAAAGTTTACAAGTCTATAAAACTGAGCTGGAACTCTTGGGAAATTTTAGGCCTTTCTTTCTCTTCAGGCTAGAAGTATTACATATTTTGGACATAGAAAACCTCTTAAGAGGTTATTTAGACAGACATTTTTAAACAATCAATGGGTCAGTTTTGGCCTAGGCTGTGAACAATTTGTCTGACCACCCATATAATATAGAAATAGCTGCTGTATGAGATGTCAGAAGAATCGGTAAATAATCCTTCATATTGCAGTGTACAAGTGTAACAGTGATCGGATAAGGGTGCTCACCTACAGCTAAATTTCAGGAGGTTTATTTTACAAGTCAAGTACGGTAAAGGCTAAAGAAGATGAAGACAGCTTTATGACATGGCTTTAAAAACATGTGAATTGAGTCACTAGAAAATATATTTTTACTACTGTTTCAATTCCTTTCACATCTACTCAATACATTTTTTTTCATTGAAACTTGCTAAAATCCAGACATCCTTTCCTCCAGGAAAATAACCAGAAGAGAAGGTATTTAATAACAAGCTCGATGTCATTTAAGATGGAGCCTCTAGTTTTTTCATTATGGGCATGTAAAACTGAAAGGGAACTATGCCAGTTTATACTAGCTACATAGCTTGTGTGGCTCCATTTTAATATAAATTTTAATGAATTAGATACTTGCATCATTTAACTTCCTGTTTGACTCAAGGACTTTCATGTGACCACTCAATGGAAACAAACTTCTTTTCAGAGCCCAGCTTGCTAACCGTCTGGTATAATTGACATGACGTTGGCAGTAGTGCCGATGTTCCTCGCCGTTAACAGCCTTCTCAGGGCTGACAGTTACTAATAGCTCCTGTTGAATTGACTAAATGTCTTTCCTCAGTTACTGCCAAGGATAGTTATATCAGGATGCAAAGTGATATTATGCAATAAAACTTGCACTGTGTATCAATATCTGAAGTGCCTGACTTCTTTATATAGGAAGTCAATCAAATGGAACAGAAAGGAAGCATGTCCCCATTTAGTTGTCTTGTGTGACAATATATTGCCTTTGGATTCAATTGTAATTCAGGTAGACAATTAAAACAGAATCTTAAAAACATTACACAGCAGGAGAGCTCCTAGAACTTTGCCCCAGTTCACAGTCATAAGTGATAACAGTCCTAAAGTTACAGGTACGTGACACAAATTTAAAGTAACAGAAGGCCTGTAGCCTCACCTCAAAATCTGAAAAGGCTACCTTGCCTTTTATCCCAAAGAAGGAGGACTGCAAAAAGTGAATTAATAAAGTGAATTTATTCCTTCAAATTGTTCTTTGCCTAAAAACAATACAGGGAAGTCAACTGTTCTCATTAACTGCAATTATTTTAGCTGTCTTGGCTGCTGGTGTTTTCTTGATGATGTCTCTGGTATCATATTTGGGAAAGAGATTACCTCAAATTTATCTTCTCAGAGCTGCTCTGTTTTAAAATGAAAGCCAAGGAGGTTGCGAATCATTGTTAGTGAGAATGACTTCGTCTGACATACTCCAATGAGAGGGACAGTGCTTCTCAAAGCCACACTCCTTAGAGCTGATTAAAAGCAGGGGAGGACATTTCTGCTGCTACCACTGTGCTGACTTGCAATTGCACTGTACCTCCTGATACCCACCACCAAGATGAAAGGACTGCTCTAATGCAGCCATGATGTATTTTCAAAGACACACAGTACCTCTCCATAAGTGACTGTATTGTTATAAACCCTCATTTCTGGATAGACATTCTCCAAGTACCACTTAAAACTCCGGCACTGCAGTCGCTGTCGTAGAGCTATTCTTTCAGAAACATCTCCAAAGTCAACTCCAGGGTTCTACATAGCAGAAAAAGAATAAAGAGATCTCATTGCTTTGACTTTACCATTGTTTTCTTTACAGAAACCAAATTGAACTTCATTTTGTGTACCACACTGTATTTCCCTCTTTCTCTTTTGTAGCAGATCATCAAACACCTGCTGTTGAGAGCAGACAATAAATAGTAATGAAAGTCAGTGGAAAAAGAACGATAACAAACAAGCAAAAAAAAAAAACATAAATCAAAATAATAAGAAGATAATAAGAATGTTGTTACTTATAGCAATTCTAAATGTTTGCACTCAAACCTGAACTCCTTTGCTTTCAGATTCATTAGGAATTTAGGCACTAATTCTGACCTAAGATAGGCTTGCTTTAGTAACAGGCTTGGGTAATCACTAATGTAAATGAGATCAGAACAGATCTGTTCAAACTTCAAAGCAGAGCTGCTCAGAAAGTCATTAAGCTCCATTAAACATTTGCATAGACCAGTATTCAGTTTTTACTGGAACTTGAGCTCATTTGCAGGCTTGAGACATAAAATGCAGTTAAACTGAAAACCTTTATAATTCTGCTTCAGAATTTAATTCAGGTGAAAAACACAGGCTGGAAGAGTCAAATCAATATGATCACACCCAGTCATTTGAAAAATGTGAGGTCCTGAGTTAGTGTCTGTTGATTTAAACCAGGATAAATTATCACAGTTCAACACTAAGACAATAAGAGTTACCTCATCTAAAAATCTTTTTCGACACTGTATGAATCAAAGGGACTGAAACTCTGGCATTTTGCATGGATCTGTCTTAAGTGCCTTGTACATTTCCTCCAGAAAGATTTCCGTACGTTTTACAAATGATGTCTAATGCAGGGTTACAAGACAGCAGCAATCCTTAGCTCAGGGTTTATTAGAATCCCCAACAGATGCCTAGTTTTCAGGAGAGAATACAAGTGCGATACTGAACAGGTTTTTCTATTTGCCACATAAAGAGTTTGCTGCGCTCACTGCTGCTTGGTGATGCATTCTTTGTCATGAGCTCTCTATGCAGCATCCATTCAAATGAAGGTTAATTTCCATACTACTTCAGGCTTCGTGGAAGGAGAGCAATTCTCAGAGGCACTCAGTACGATAAATCATTCAATGTAAGATTCCTTTATCTCTAAAATTGTCCAGGAACGGCTCATAAGCTGCAGCATGCCAAATATTTTGTTAACTAAAATAAAGCTATGCTGACATGCTGATGAAGGGTATGGGAATATGATCCTGCAGATGTATCCAAAGATCATCCACTGATCAGGATCCAGATTATGCACAGATCCTCAATAACTTAGAAGGGAGCAAGTTGTGAAAAACGTGGTGTGAGTTATGAAAAGGTCAATCTGGATGGGTTTTGGTATGGGAAAAATGTGTATTTTACTTGCCTTCTTTCTGTCCTATTCTAAAATGAGACAATACAACACCCTGTTTGCGGTGCCGCTTCTACAGAACACAAGAGCAGCAAGTTGAGCAGCTATGAAAATGCTGTGGTTACGTCTGTATCAGCTGCAGTCATCATGTGTGGGTTTGAGTGTGATGGTACAAGAATGAGGTGTCCACAGAATTTACTATGTGGACATATTCTTTTTAACCAGGCAGTAAGATTTCCAGTTCTCCTGCAGAAGGTTTTCCTTACGGCTTATAACCGTATTCCTTAGTCATCTAGACTGAATACTACAGAGGAATAAATCTGTGAACACTAACACTAGCTTCCTTTTCCTGAGAGGTAATGGAGTTATTTTTATGATGAACATTTTATCAATCAATTTATTTTATGGAAAGAAAATTTTAATGTTCACTACTTCTGCTGAATTTATGTCTCTTAATGTAGATGTGCCTTTTTATTTTTTTTATTTTTTTTTGTTAAAGCACTGCTGTATAGCTCAGTGCAGAAAACTACATCATTAAGTAGTCTCAGAGAGATTAAAGAAATCATGTTTTGGTGTAAATGCTTATTTAAATGACTTGTCTTTTCTCAGAATTCATTTGCAGAAGGCATCGAGCAAACAAATTTACCAAGGTTATTTTTTTTTAATCTATCTGAAACTTACCATTTTATCAAACGGATGCAGACAGGGCCAAAAATGCCCCTTAAAACTTAGATGGATGCTGCTTTGTCTTCCTCCTACTATCATGGAAATCTTGTGTTGGAAAGAATTTATGCAGTATTGCCTTGTTAAGGCAAAATAATTCTCTGCAATTGCTTCTCATACCAAAATAAGCCACCAAAACACATCTTCGTACAGACCAGGCTTTCAACATTGCACAGAATGTCCAATACTGAGCAGCAGTCCGTGAATTCAGACATAGGTGAACATTTGACTTATTCAGACATCACATGGAGAAGAATGAAACCTTGCTCCTTTAGGTATATATATTTCCAAAACTACAACAGGAATGAACAAAAATGGGTTTTGAAATATTACCCAGGTACCAAAGTACAAGTAGGACACAGACTAAATCTGATGAAGTCTCTGACAAAACTCCCGTGATTTGATGGACTTTAGGTCACCACTGAATATTCACAAAGACGCTGCTGGGTTGGCCTATTTCCCTGTTCACATAAGAACATTCCTGTTTCCATTTACTTCAATTGGCTTTGAACTAGCCCCTCATATAAGGGTTAACTAAGCCACCATTACCTCCTGAATGGAGTAGCTTCCCCTCAGCTGCAATCCCTGTGCCCCTTCACATGAATAATTGGGATGCAAATGCCACTAAAGGATACAGCAGCAGTCAGCTTCCACCTGACTGGGATGTATCATATACCTCTTCTCTGCTCAGTGGAGATGTAGCATGTGATACACTTACAGAATCAAGTGACAAATTGAACCCACGGTTTATCTAATATTTATATTACACGGATTCCTAGAGGTCCCTACATGCCATCTACAATTTGTATGTGCAGTAAGAAACAGAACGTGTCCACATTGCAACTCTCAGCCCGCAGACAATAAAGCTAGTTAATGTGGGATTCTTTTATCGCATTCTTTGTTGTTTATGCTGGCGAGGTCTACCGAGTCTCATGATGAATGATGATTTTTATTTAAGGATGTTTCTGAAGTCCCCACCATTGTAGCATATGAACGTTTCAAAGTTTAATGGCATCCCGAATTAACGACTTCTTCTAAGGAAGCACATAAACCTGAAACACGGTGCTCTAGTTAAATTATAAAACTGTGTCACTGCTCTTAAGCGCACAACAAAACTTACACCGAGGAAGAAAGTTCATATGGCAGAACTCTTGGTATGGAGCATGCGCCAACATGAAAGCACTCCTGAGCTTAGCCCGCTTCATGCTACTGTAGAAACATCCTTCACCCCAAAGAGCCGACGAGGAACAGCCATCCACATTTCTATGATTCTGTGATTTCAGGAGACAGCGTGACCCATACTTACTGCCATGGGGATGTTCCATGCCATGTAAACGTGCGACTTGAAGTCATCCATCCAGACCTCAGCAGCCCGCAGGGCGTTGCGCTTTGCATAGTAATCAATGTCGTTGTTGTAGGGTTTCTTTGTGCGTTCAATGTGTGCCACGCGAGAACAGGGCAACACCTCCATGCTTCCTCCGCACTGCCACACCTGGGAGAGAGGGAGGAAAAACAATTCAACGAATTGTTTTTCTTATTTTTAAGGGGATATGACTGCTTCTTTTCAGATGTTGTATGTAGAGTGTCCCCTAGATGGACATGGGCGCTGTCAAACAATTCGGAATGACCACCCGATTTACTTGCTGTGGGAGTGAAACCCCTTCCTCTTCACATTGACTATAGATGAGTCCAAGGTGAATGCAGGTGGCTGTGTTGGGTACGTAAATTTAGGTGCCATAAACGTCCAAGTCCTTCCCCATAATGTCACTGCTCTTGGAACCATTAGGCAGAAGACAAGTTATAAGGTGGTAACCTCTGTCATAGGGACTAGTTTAACCTAGTGCTTGCTACTGAAAGTTCAGCAAAAAACAGTTGTATCATCTGTCTGTGTTTGGCACCATATATGTGGGAGTTACTCTATCAGCTCTCCAAATCAACTAACAAACTTTTAATAGTTTAAATGTGACTGACCAGAAAAATCTGATACATGTTTAGCATACACAAGCACCTCAGATAACCTGTTCCACACCAGAGCCTTTTGTGTAGGGATTTGAATATTACCTTTGGAAAATAGGAGGAAACAAATTACCCACATGCACAATACCAACACACACAAAAAAAGCATGGAAATAGAGTTATTTTCTCATTATGGAAACTTAGACTTGGATTGTGAGTCAGTCAATTATTATTTTATTTTTTTTTTTTTCCTAATCTAGCCCCTGCAGGCTTCACTGATTTTCAGCAGAGTAATTCTCCCTTTGTATACATGCTTTGCCCTACCTTTGTCAGTGAGAAACAAGCACTGACTTACCTGGTCGGTATAGGACATCCCATGGAAATTTTACCCAAGAATAAGACACGAATCTTAGCATGAGATGCCTTGGTAAATCTGGCCATTAACCAAAAGGTGTATCTGTTCAGCACCAGAGGTTGCTGCCACGCTTGGCAGTGGATGTGAGCACAGCAAACACGTTTCCTACCCAGTGCTTCTGGGCTTTGCTACATGCAGAGCAATCACCTTCTAGCTTTGGAAAGGAGCACGCGATGGTGAGCCCATCACCGTACTCTCCTTCCCAAGCAAACAATGCAGCCATCTACCCACCAGGCAGAGAGGAAAGGAGAAACCTCCTGTGCAACTATTCTGTATGCCTTTACCTGCAGCCTGGTTGCATAAGCAGCAATAAATGACCACTTGTCTCTCTACCCCTGGGTTGATCAAGATGGATAAAAGGAGCTGAGTGGAGGCTGTATCACCCAGCCTTCCCAAGCACCATCATAGCCACACTGTGCAATTCTTTCCTGTTGATTATTTACTGGCTGAGCTTTGTGATGGGAAACAAAGCAGAGTCGTCTCTTTGAATCAGCAAGATTGGGAGTGATACAGGGTGAGTGAAGCTCATGCATTTCAGTTCACTGAGGTCTGCACATAGTACTATAGTCTAGCTGAAATAAATAAAAGATTTTAAAATATAAGCAAAATCCATTGCTTTCCAAGGCTGCCTTTTACTGAGCAGAAAACTCATTTCCGGACAAGATGCTCTCCAGAACAATACTGGGGCAGTTCTCCACATGACCTGCCCTCTCAGGGACAAAGATAAATTGCTTGAGAAGTGGCAGAAAAAATCTTCTCCTTCAGTGTGGCCCTTTTTTTTTTTTAATACTTCATTAGGTAATATTTATTTGCTGATTTCTAAACAGTTCTGTAGTAAATCACTGGCCACTAGAATTAGCATTTGATAAATGAAGTACACTGCAAACCACACTGCTCATAAATTTGGATGGAAAAATTCTGAGGGTTTCCAGTGCAAAGGGGAAGTGCTACGAAAAAGGAATGAATCGATTTTCAGGATGAGAAGGGGAAATGACAATACACTTTAGTATACTGCTAACTTGGCCAGCCCACCCTGGAAGTCAGCTATTGAACACACAGGACATTTTTCTTTCTCTTGATATGGCTAATGACCTTGTAATTTTTATTTATATATTTTGGTACCAAGGGCAAATACCTTATCTGAGCAACAGATTTATTTCTTTCAAATGCCAGTGCTCATGCAAACCTGAAAAGAAAAATCTACTAAACCGCAACATTAAAGGAAACAGTTTAGCTCATTTGTAAATTCAACACAAACAGTTATTTATCAGTGATAAATTTTCCCACATCCACAGGGAACTCAGACACCTGGCTTTGAAGAAAACACAACAAAAAAAAGGCGGCAGCAGCAGCCTCAGGCCAGATAATGCTCACCCTGTCAGCCAGGATCTTCGGTGCTCAGCACTCAGCGTGCATCTGCACTGTGGTGCGACCGCCCCATCTGTGTCTAGATCGCTTTACATTTACATTCAGTCACTTCTTTCCCCTACACCTCAGACCCATTTTGCTCTTTAAAGAGACAAAAAACTGCTGAAGAGGATGGATGGATGGATGAATGGAAGGAGAGAAGGAAGGGCCAGGAAATATTCAAAGAAATTCTGCTTCCTATGAAGATGTCAGTTTACCCCAGATGATTTGTTTTTTTCTGGGAATATGCAACTTTTAATACCAGTGGGAGATGTTTCCCAGGATAAGGATGGAATTTCCAGTCCCAGAGAAAAAACTGGATTTACAGTGCATGGGGCAAGGAGGCAATTACTCATGGATCACCAGGCACACATCATCACATCACCATTTCTCCATATCACAGATAAATGCCATGGCTACTCCACCATGGGTCATTTCTTTTCAGGCCAGACAAGGTTCCCGGTTTCACTTCACAAGGATTAGTTGGTGTTCAATGGAGCATGGACATGACACTGCATCCCCACATCCTTTCAGTGCACTGCTAAGAACAGGTGGAGCTCTTGTCCTCTCCCTTTCCAGCCCTATGTTTACTTAAACTTACACAAAATTAAAGAATTTCAGCGGCATAACCACGCATGTACACCTGAATCCAGCCAAGATCCCGGCAATTAAGAGCACTCATGGGAGATTTAGATGAAGACTCAAGACTTGTGTCTGAATCCAGAGGATGAGGAGGCTTAGTAGCAGCTTCTCCCTGCTGGACACTGAACTGAAAGACACACATAATTCAGAAAACTGTTGCCTGTCTGCCTTGAACTGCAAGATGTCTCTGAAATCCAAAGGGAGGTGAAATAACATGGAAAGTTTTACTGCATGAAACAGATAAGAGAGAGGTGAGTCAGCGTCTGCCCCTGAAACTGGCCGATTTTCCTCCTCAAAACTGTATTTAATGACCGATCTTAACAGTATTAAACAGCCCATTTCTTTCCAGATCTAAGTGTGAAATGATGCCAGAAAAATAATTACATGCATCTACTGAAGGTAAGATAGATACAGGCTCAAAAGATGCCCCAAGCCAGGCACAGAAGTAGCTCCAGCTGATAAAGCAGCAGCAAAGCAAAGAGGCTTCTGCATCGTGTGCTCTGCAACAACGTGTGGCTGCCACAGCCCAGGGACTCGGCTTTGCCTCCGTGAGCATCACACTGTGCAACCTTTTAAGACATGATCAAGTAATTCCAAGAGACACTCAATTTATTTGCTAATTGTAGTTAATTTCTAATTTCAGTATTGCTCTTTAGGCTGCTATAAACAAAATTGATAGCAATATAAATGTTACCATAGCTGCGTTACCTTTGCATTTTTACTGCTAATTATCTCAATCAACTTTTCTATAAACAGACATATTAAGTATTAAGAAGTACCCACATCAGGGATAAATTGCAAACTGAACGACAACATTCGTGGTTTGAGCTACAATGATTTACTGGCACTAATTATTAGCTTTTCCTGTACACCTGAGGCATGGCTGTCCTACAGAAAGGTGTTTACCGTTTATTATGCAGTAGTCGATTGGACATCATATTCTATGCATGAAAGAAAAACTGAGATGAGACAGTGTCTTGTCTACCATGACCTAAACTATGGATCACCAAAGTTCTCTGAATGCAGGTTGGGTACATGATTTAGAAAAACTAATAAGTGGCTATGCTTTAACTCTTGATAAACAAGAAGAAATTTCCTGAGGAAATACCTTTTCCCACAATTACTTGTTGCTGAAGGTCCAGACTACCATTTCTAATAGTTTTTAAAAATACTGAATTCCTAAAAAAAAAAAAAAAAAAAAAAGGGAAAAAATCCAGAAAAGGTCTTAAAACAGCTGGTTTTTTTAAAAAAATTAAATTATTAGTACCCTAAAAAGGAAATACAGTTTAAAAAATAAAAAGAATCAATAATAGAATGGCTTGGGTTGGAAGGGACCTTAAACATAATTTAGTTCTTCATAAAAAGAAACAAAAGAGAAAAACAAAACTTTTGACCAAAATCCAGGTATTGTGGGAAGGAGGTAAGGAGGTGAAGCAAAGTAAAATGTAAAATTCCATCAATTTTACTTTTGGAAAAAAAATTCTTATTAAAGTCCAACAACAAGCCTGGTCATTGTTGAAGCAGGATGCAGACCTGGCTGGACTGCTGGGCTAATCAACTCCTAGGTCATGGCAATATATATACAGAGGGAACATCGCTGACATGGTCTCCAGCTCTGCAGGTGAGACCTATTTCCAATAGCGTTGTGCCCTGCTGAGTGAACGTCAGAGCTCAAAAACATCCTGGGGTTTAATACTCAGGTGAGCCATTCGCAACAGGGCAGCTGCGGCTCCCGGGGTGCTCCCACCGACTGCAGGGAGGGCTCATCACCCCACATTACCTTCAGCCATCCTGGTTTTTGAAAATACATTCACTTATTAATGAGGGAAATGATTCATGTTATGTCCAGAAATGGCAATGAAATACCATGATTTTGTGGCCATTCTTATCATGCTTTTGGGAGTGTCAGGAGAAGGGGGTGCCTGCAGGCTGCAGGGAACTGACATAGAGATTATTCATTGTTTCAGTCAAAAAAAAGCACATAGCTCTGTAGGACATTATTTTGTACACTAAACCGCTGCACAGGGTTGTTTAATTTGGTACAAATGATCTCAGGAAAAGCAAAATCAGTG